TTCAATAATTCAATATTGACTGATGCACTACCTACAGACAGAAAACAAAAGGAGCTTTTATCTTTCTATTTTTGCGTTTCGTTTTTACCAATGATAACGCTTCAATCAACATTAGCTCTTTGCAAAATAATGTCTTTTTAACAGACATTGTCTGCTAAGTAATGATTCAAGATTTTCAATTTGTTCTTCAACGGAATTAAAATAAAACCTTTGTTGAATATTTTCTAGTAAAATTTGCACAATTATCAAAGAAAATCATTATTCGATGGTTGTGTTTGACAAAAAAGTTCAGTCATTTGTTGCCCATTATTTCAAGCAATATCGTCACGTACACTTAAAAAGAATTTTCTTACAGCAAATTGCCTATGTTCCCATCTAGATAATCATCTAATGCTTCTGTGGGAATATCTGATACTGATATAGATGACATGATTGTGTCATGTGTTCCTGAATAAACTTTTTTTTTAAGCAAATTTAATTAATTTTTTTTCAAAAATATTTACTTAAACTACGTGATAACAACAATTTTTTTTATCATAAACTAATGTCGGATAAAATGATGAATTATCACTTGTAAACGATATTATTGATTAATTACTATTAAATTTAAATTGTTCATAAGTTTTAAATCCAATCATTTAAAACAATTTTTCAATATTAACAAAATCTTTTTCAATTAATTGACATTTAACCATCATTGATGAATCAATCCATAAACGACATTCAATATGTGAGAACGAAAATTTTAAATTAAAAATAAATTTTTCGGTAAATTATATACATCTAATGTGTCGATTGTATCTTCATTTGTTGATAAAAAATGTTGTTGCGCATACCTTTGAAAAAAGAAAAAAACAACAAGATCAGAATTTCATAATATATTGATGTATACCTGATATTCTAACACTAGGTGTGCAATCGAGTTTTGTTTATTAATCATATGACTTTTGGAAAAAAACATCTTAAGTAGTAAAAATGACGTTTGAGATTCAATCGAAAGTTTCGAGGTGTTTTTTATTATTAAGTGCTTCAAAAAAGACGAGCACAGGTGTTGTTACATAATGATTATCATCTTTTATGGACAACAAAATCATTTGGTCGAGCATGATGAACAAGTAAGTAATTTATAACTAATACTAATCGCTTTTTCAGCGATCATATTCAATTGTTGACTAAACGGGACATCTTGGAGTTGTGGTTATGCTGAATTCAAAACTAAAATAAAGATGTGTATGATTTTTTTTTCATCTAATATCTACGATTTTAAGAAATAAACAAAAATATCTACTATAAACTACTATGTTTAATAATTTATTAATGGGTATACAAAAACAAACTGAGTAATAATAGGCCGTATCAGATATTAAACTACGAAAAAACGAAAAACTTTTGAGAAAATAGAGAAGTTTAATCATAAGCCCATGTGCCAGGAGGATACTTTTCATAAAGTTTTTCAATTATTTCAATTTCTTCTTTGTGACCAAGAAAAATTGGCGCTTTTTGATGAATTGCTGTAGGTTGAATTTTTAAAATCGACTGTTTACCATCTGATGATGCACCACCTGCTTTTTCAACAATATATGCCATAGGAATACTTTCATACATTAAACGAATTTTGCCTTGTTTTGCATCTTTTGATGCTGGATACAAGAATACACCACCATAAAGAATTGTACGATGTACATCAGCAACCATTGAACCAACATATCGATTAGCATAAGGTTTTGCATTGCCCTAAAATAACATCAATCTGGATCATTTTTTTATCTCTTAACCAATCATACAAACCTCTGGAAACTTTTTCGAATGAACGAATTCTGTTGTAGCTTTATCCCAATATTTAGAATAACCTTCATTAATACTGTAAATTTTGTGTGATCCTGGTTTACCCATTTCTGGCATTTGCATATTTGGTGCTGTTAAAATAAATTCACCAATAGACTAGAACACGAAAAAAAATGAATAAAAAATAATCACAACAAAAAAAAAAAGATTTTTTTTTTCATACTGGATCAAGAGTAAATCCATTAACACCGTCTCTTGTTGCTAAAACAAGCATACAAGCTGAACCATAAACAGCATAGCCAGCACAACGTATATGTTCACCACTTTGTAATACAGTATCAATTGGTTCTTTAGCATTCTCCGGTTTTTTCCATACCCCAAAAATTGAACCAATTCTAAGAAGAAAAAAAAAGCAAATAAATATTTTCTATTATCTAATTATATTTACATACGTAACAAGACAATCAATATTCGATGAACCATCTAGAGGATCAAAACATACAACATATTTACCCTACAAAAACAAAATAAAATAAAATAACTTTAAACTTTATTATTATTATTATTATTATTGCATACTTGTTTTGGTATTTCGACTTCAACTAAATTTTCATTTTCTTCTGATGCCATTACATAAACAGTATAGGATGATTTAAGCATATTAATAAAAAGTTCGTTAGCAAGTACATCCAATTTTTTTTGATCATCACCTGTTGTATTTGATGAACCAGCTAAACCATATCTATGATTAAAAACAGAAAAAACAAGATGATAATAATTAAAATAAGAATTTCATTTAATGTACAATTTGGCAATTCCAGCTTTTCGTACAGCTGCTGCACACGCTTTAATAGCTGTTAATAATGCATTGAGTAAAATAGTTAAATCACCAGTAGCACCTGGATATTTTTTTCTTTGTTCAAGTACATAACTTGTTACGGTTATACATTCAGTATCCATGATTAATGTTGACACTTACACAATTGAAATCTATAAAGGAAAGACACACCTTTTGTTTTTTATCAACACACACACTTCCCTTAGAAACTATGTTGTTTTATATTTGATTCACAGATATATATATATGTACGTGGGCTAGAATCAAGAAAGTCAACAGAAAGAAAAACAGAGAATATCATATGATTGTTTTTTTGCATTGAGAGAGAACAGAAAGAAAGAGTACTGGAAGATTAAGGTCCAAATGTGTGTGTGCGATAGTTAAAAAACCTATTGAAAAAGAGTAGAACAGTAAATTGATTTATTTTTTGTCAAAACTGAAACGTAACAGAATAGTTTCAGAGGAAAACTGAAATGCCTGGAGAGAGAAAAACGAAGCAAGACTGTAACTTCAAGTAGGGGTGGACAAATCAGACAAAGAACCTACAGATGGAGTGAATGTATGCATTCATTGATTTGAAATATCAAATGTATAATATTATAATGAAAATGACTCAGAAATCATCGTGAATGTTGTTTACAATCAGTACACTATATGTATGAATTACTGTTTGTAATCGGATACATAGCACCAAGTTTCTTAAAATTGACACAAGTCTTTTTGACGTATGTATCCAAAGTTTATATGTTGTGCCACGATGATCTCGACTATGAAATTGTAGAAAATATTCGTTTGAGCGTGAGATAAAAATATCATGATTGAACTGACATCATCCAATTTCTAACTCCAACAAAAAATGCAAAATTTTCTACACTTTGCGTTTTTTCCACATTTGGCATAATTAATATGAAAGGCCGTATAAAAACTTAGAGGCAAGTTTCTGCTTTTTTTCGAATTTTAAGATAGTTAAAATGAAAAGAGTCATAGATTCAGCTGTAAGGACAGCGGATTCTCGACCATGAATAACAGAGATTTATCAAATAAGAGTATAATCAATGGTTATTATTACTAATGAGATTGGAACACACTAGCTAATTTTTTATTTCTGAAAACGTTAGTTCCTGAAAGTCATCTCCTTCTTGAGATTACACGGAGCGATTGAAAACTATTGCGGTCTCAGTCTTACGCTGAAAAGTTGAACATTTATTTGAACGTAACTTAGCTTTTTTCCTTGCTCGACAGCACTGCAACAACATGCAAACATATCAGTTTGTAAATCGAAATGAAGAGAGAAACAATGAAATAGAAGAATTATTGAGAATTTCTTCTCAAGCAATCTTTATTTTAACATTTATAGAATCCCTTCATTGCGTCGCCTTTGAGGACAGGAAGTCATTGAAGTTTTAGAAGAGATTGCTCAAAAATTTGTCAATAGTAGAAATTTTAATTATTAATTTATTTCAATAATTAAAATTTTACGGCAACTAATTTCTACTGATTTTCGAGTAGTTTCATGAACTGTCCTATAAACGTTGATTTGCTGTTAAATATGGCACAAAAATTTTAAGCTAATAATTTTCTATTAAATGAGCAAGAAAAACCAATTTACCATTCATTTTGAAGAGCTCGCTTTACTGTGATTTTTCTATAAAAGACATTTCAACAATAAACTTTATTATAGGAAACAAGTCAGGTCTTCTGGACCAGCCTATTATAGCTTATTGTATAACACTGAATGATCATCGGTCAACTGATCAATTCACTATATTTCTTTTCCATTATAACATCTATGAAGACAAGAAATGGCTCCAATATATGGGTTTTTTTACGCTTATTGTTTTTGTAAACAATGTTGCCCTGGCAAGCTAGTGTTCCTACCAGCTAGCGAATTCTCGTCATTGCAACATGTATTTGATCAGTGTTAATTATTTACCTCTTGGTAAATTGTAGTAAGCAACTTTTCGCGAAAGTATTTGACAACCGACATCTATTTTGTTCGTACACGTATCATGTGGATGAAACTGAAAAGAAAGCTATACGATCAATGCAGATCAAATACATTTTTGCAGTGATGATAAAAAGCGGACTGATGGTATCACTATCTTGTCAAAGCAATTCCGTTTCAATCGAACATATAAATGAAAAGTTATTGGATTGCAAGAGTTTTTCTTTTCAATAATAATTATTGACTTATTGTTCCAAGCAACATCGACACATGATCATGATGATTTTAACTGTAGCTAAAAACAGAACTATTTGTATAAATGCATGCCGTCTTGCGACAATATTGCACTAATAAAAACAGATCTCGCTTGAAACTTATCATTTTTTTTCTATCCTTGGTACAGTACTGATACATGGTTTATTATTATTAATAATGGCCTTATGTGTTAATATTGCTTTTCTTGATTCAGCATTAACAATGATGTTTGTGTATGTTTTTAGTCGACGAAATCCATATGATAGAATGGCTCTTTTTGGTTCCTTAACTTTTCCAGCATCTCATGTACCATGGGTACTATTAGTTTTTTCGCTTTTACATTAAAATTCAGTGATTGTTGATTTAATGGGAATTATTGCTGGTCATATTTATTATTTTCTTGAAGATATATTTCCACGAAAACAAGGTGGTTTTCGAGTATTAAGAACACCAAGATTTTTATATTGGTTATTTGGTGAAGCTAGACATCATCGTGATGAAAATGATATACCTCTAAATGTTGAAAATGAGGTGTTTATTTTATGCTGATGATTTTCATGAACAATGATCATATTCTTGTTGATTTTTTTACTTCTTGTGTATCTTAATTCAAGAAATAAATAAATAAATAGAATTCCTAAATGCTCTCAATTCAAACCTAGTTTGTCTTAGCAAGCTCCGATCAAAAAGAAATGAAAGAATCTTGAAGTTTATGCTCTTTTGAATAGTATTTTTTATCGATGTTTCTTTATCTTCGATAACAATAATGAAGGAGCTTCTACCTTATCTACAGAAAGACTCATTAACGTATACATTATACATATGAATACATTAAAAATAAATACTCTGTCGAGTAAAAGTGAGCAGATACGTGCTAAGCAAACGAAAATTAGGATTTATTTTTGAACAAAAGAAAATTATTTCGTAGTTTTGCGACCTAATTAAAAACAAATTCTGCGTAAAACATCTATATAAATTCTACTAACGTTGTTTTAACACATTTAAAAGTGAAAGTGAATTCGCTTTAAATTTTACTGAATAACAAAACCATTTTTTCCATTTCTGAGGAAGAAAAACAATATATTTGTTTACATTGAGATATTCATTCATAAAAAAGTTCTATCTTTCATCTGACTAGTTTTTTTGTAACTTGTCATTATGATTGTTTGAGACCTACTGAAACAAAAGAAACTAATGTCAAAGAAATGTTTTTAATTGAAAGACGATAGTGGCAAGAAAAAAAGAAATTAATCACACATGTATGTCAGATGGTAAATCTTTTATTTTATTTTATTAACCTTGGATTATCACTATTAAAACACATCGAATAACTGTTGTTTTCTTTTGTTTATCATTTACGATTCAAAAGAATTCGTTTTTATGATATCTTATTCATCATTGAAATTGCACCTCAATATTACGAAATATGAAGATTATTCACAAATACTTTCTTGAAAACTATGATGTAGGTATGAGTTAGCTAAAGACTCACATCCACACTCACTTCATACCCATGTCCAAGAATACCAGAATGTGTACTCTGATAAAAGGTCGACTCGGTATAGATATCCTGTCGATCGACACACTCTCAATGAAATCGTTGTTCTTACGGAAAAATTGATTTGTGACTGATCAATCACGAGAAATATGAGACCTTTAGAAGTGATATCAGCAAGTGCCTGAAATACAAACTCAAGACTAGAAAGTAATTTTGAAAACCAGAATAGGTCAAATATTCAGAAAGCAATAGACACTCTACAATGCTTGAAATAAGTTTTTATGGACTATGCACAAGACACATGTAAGTTTCCTGACAAAGACAGAAAAAATTATTGTCTTCTGGAACTCGAACGATATGCCAAGGTTTAAGGAAAAAAGTACTCCCTAATTATATAACCAATGCCTCGAGTCATATAGAGGTCCATGCACTAGTTTTGCTAAGCTGCTCACAATTCCAATTCGACAAAGTTAGCAGAAACCAAAAGAAGAACTTTTTTGAATCTATGCTTGTACAATCCTTTAGGAGTTAAAGATTTTTTTTCATGTTCGAAGTAACTTTCTATGACAGCCAGTAAAATATCATGTCCTGATTCGTACTAGATATGAATATATCTCATATGATGAACCGACTCTCTTATCACACCCTCCCCTTCAGAAAAGTCAGTTTTACTCAAATTTATGGAATTTATGATGTATAGTTCGGTAAATAGAGAAAACTATCTATTCTTAAGAGCGAAATAATTAGTTTATTGATTTTCAGATGATACTTAAGGATATTGCATAAGTTTTTCAAATCCTCATATTAAAGAGCTAGATTGATAAAAAATTTGACTGGTTGCAACCTGAGTTTGAAAAAGCAATGTGAAGAGGTTATAATTTGTACATTTTGTACAATCCTGTTTCGGTTCACCTTTAAAATACTTTTTTTTTCTTGTGTTCTGTGAGAAACGAAAGTATGTACGTATACGAACGAGCATGTGCACATACGTGTATATTCACAAACGAAGGAAGACTACTCACTCAATACATGAGCCTTTTTTCAGTTGAGGGAGCAAGTAAAAAGAAAATATTGCTTTCTACCATTAACAAGGCAAAGGTAAGACAACAAACAAAGTTATCATCATTTTTTGTGTTGATATTAAAATACAACTTATTTAGACCTTCCGATTCATTGTTTTTCAAAAAATTCCTTACAATTATATTTACATTTCTTTCGTTGTGTGTAGTAACGATATTCTCAATATTAAAATAAAACTTCACATCATTTCATATGGCTAGCAAATCACCAGTTCTAAGCATTGAAGACAAACAAACTATAAATATATGCCATGGTGAAAATAAAGAAAGTGTAACACTGATTTGGTTTGATCCAAATATTGGACCACGTAAAGATACTGAACAAACTAAACAACAGCTTCGTCTTATTAATGATTATGTCATTTTTTCTAATGACCTTGAACAATGTATTGCATTGATTGAATCAATTGATAAAGAAAAAATCTTTTTAATAACATCAGGATCAAAAGCATCACAAATTTTACCTCGAACCTCTTATTTTCATCAAATTGATTCAATTTTTATTTTTTGTATGAACAAATATCGATATGAATATTTATTAAATAAATATTCAAAAATTATTGGAATTTATATTAGTCTTAATGATTTATGTAAATCAATAAAAGAACAAATCGATTGCGTTAGTAGACAAATACAAACATTTTCTTTTTTTGATCAACATCAAAAATCAACTAAAGATTTATCTAAAGAATCAGCAGAATTTCTTTGGTTTCAATTATTTCATTATATTATTACTCGTCTTCCACGAAATCAACAAGCTAAACAACAAATGATTCAAATATGTAAAGAATACTATCGTGGAAATACAAAAGAAATGAAATTAATTCATGAATTTGAACAAAATTATCGATCAGAAGATGCTATTTGTTGGTATTCAAAACAATCATTTCTTTATAAATTAATTAATAAAGCTTTAAGAACTGAAGATATTGATTTATTATATAAATTTCGATTTTTTATTGGAGATCTTTCTGAAAATCTTCAACGTCTACATGAAAAAATTCTATTATCAGAAGAAAAACTTTTAAATGTTTATCGAGGTGTTAAACTTGATAAAGAAGAATTTATTAAATTAAAAGAAAATCAAGGAAATCTTATTTCAATAAATGGATATTTATCAACTAGTCGACGAAAATCATTAGCATTAAATTTTGCAATGAAACCAACAAAGAGAATTGATGTTTTTCCTGTTCTTTTTCATATTCATTGTGATATAAAACATATTGATAAAAATATTATTTTTGCTGATATTCATCAATTTAGTCAATATCCAGATGAACAAGAAGTTTTATTTGATTTAAATGCTTGTTTTCAAATTGAATCCATTGAAGAACATGAATCATTACAAATAATTAAACTGAATCTTTCAAATGAAGGACAACAAATTACTAAAGATTATATTAAATTAACAGAACAAGAAACAGAAGAATTAAGTGTTTCAATTGTTTTTGGAAGATTATTGTGTAATTTAGGTGAATATGATAAATCACAAAAATATTTTCAACAATTATTAAATGATTCAAATAATGAAGATCACGCTTGGATTGAATTTAATATTGGTCGAGCTCTTGCTTTTAAAGGTGAATGGCATGAAGCTCGAAAATATTATGATCGTGCATATAACCGAATGATGACAAGTAAACCAGCACGAATCAAAGATTCTGCTCATGTTCTTAACAATATTGGTGTTATTCTCGATAAACAAGGAAAGTACAATGAAGCTCTTGATTATTATCAACGAGCATTGAAAATTCGAGAAAAATTTTATCCAGTTGGCCATCTTGATATTGCTACAAGTCTCAACAATATTGGTCTTGTTCTCTCTGATCAAATAAGATACGATGAAGCACTCGATTATCATCAACGAGCATTGAAAATTCGAGAAAAATTTTATCCAGTTGACCATGTTGATATTGCTACAAGCCTAAACAACATTGGTAATATTCTTTGTAATCAAGGAAAGTACGATGAAGCTCTCAAATATTACCAGAGGGCATTGAACATTGATCAGAAGTTTCATCCATCTGGTCATGCCGATATTGCTTATAGCCTCAACAACATTGGTCTTGTTCTCTCTTGTCAAGGAAAGTACGATGAAGCTCTAAAGTATCATCAACAAGCATTAAAAATTCGAGAGAAATTTTATCCATCTGTTCATGTTGATATTGCTACAAGTCTCAACAACATCGGTGTTATTCTCTATAATCAAGGAAACTATGATGAAGCACTCAATTATCATCAACGAGCATTGAAAATTCGAGAAAAATATTATCCTTCTGGTCATGTTGATATTGCTACAAGTTTGAACAACATAGGTCTTATTGTCTACTATCAAGGAAAATACAATGAAGCTCTCGATTATCACCAACGAGCGTTGAAAATTCAAGAGAAATTCTATCCATCTGATCATCTCGATATGGCTACAAGTCTCCATAACATTGGTAGAATTCTCAATCGACAAGGAAAGTATGATGAAGCTCTCGACTATTACCAACGAGCATTGAAAATTCGGGAGAAATTCTATCCATCTGGTCACATTGATATTGCTACAAGTCTCCATAACATAGGTAAAATTCTCAATCGACAAGAAAAGTACGATAAAGCTCTCGATTATTATCAACGAGCATTGAAAATGCGAAAAAAATGTTATCCCTCTGGTCATGTCAATATTGCTGACAGTTTGAATAATATTGGCATTTGTTATGAAAATAAGAACAAACAAAAGATGGCACTTGACTATTATCAACATGCATTAGCTATATATGAGAAGTTTCTTCTTGCTGAACATCCACGTCGACAGAGAACCGAGAATATTATTCGTCGACTTAGTAAAAAATAACTAAATTTAATAAAAATGATATACTAAAAGCTTTCAATTTCAATAACGATGCAAAGATTTTGTTTTTTTTGTGTTGGAAGGTTTAGTTTCTAATTGTGAATATTCAATATTTATCGTGTCATAGGTCTAAAGGAATTAATAAGTTTTACGTTGATTTCCGTTTTGTACATGATGAGCAAGATTCATAGAAAATTTTCAATGATGATTATGGTTTATTTTTTGTGGATGAATTATGATAAATAATTATATAATGTTATCAATAAAACAAATTTTATTAGTAAAAATAGTTCTTTTATTTTACTTTGTAATGAATTTTAGAAACTTAAATTGAAATCTATACTTGTTGATCCAATTATTATATTTCGTTGAGAAAAGAAATTATATAATTCGAAATAAAAAAGATTCTTCTATTTTATATATTCTAATGTTTTTTTTTTAATTTAATTAATAGCTTTAATTTAAATTTGCTGTAAAATGTTTTTCGAATAAAACCGGTTTCTGTGAAATGAAAGATATCTGTGAAAAAATTAGCTAAGCCTTTCGATATGAAATCTCTTGTTAATTGATCATTACAAAAATAAAAGCATTTAATACTGTCATTTCTCCAAAGAATTTTATCTGTACGTAAATGATTATTTCCTGAAATAGAAAATTGAAAGTTAATTCATTCTTTGATTGATTATCAAATTAGTTTTGAAGAACTTTCAATTCAGTATTTTCAATAAATATTCTTTCTTGATTAAAGAACTAGTGGCGTTAACGTCACTTTTTGACACAAAATGTTTTCAAGAAAAAACTATACAAGGATAACAAGTTTGATATGGCCTACAATCCTAGCATAGTTATTCACCTTGGCATGATATTAAGGTTTTTGACACCTGTAGTCCCCTATGGGGTTCCTGGAACACTTTTTTCAAAATTCATTTCCAAGACACATCTAGTCATATCATGTTGATCACGCTGATTAGGAAAATCACTATTAGAAATCTTGAAAGTGTGGCATACATATAATAGGCGAATCTTACTGAAGTCGGGTTTTCAGTCAAAAACTGAGCTTTGAGTGTCTTCCTATCTTAGAGAGCTTACCAAACCCGCTAAAGTAACTATGTAATGCATATAATCAGTTGCTCCATCCGAATATGTAGAAAAAGTAAGTTAACCCTTTGAGGGCGAAGCCCGTATATATACGGTTTGAAAATTCCAGTAGAAATGAAAATCTTTAGCCTTGTTCAAGTAGATTCTTTGAGTGTTTCGTTCCTTTTCTATCTCAAACTTCTCTATTTGTGTCTTTGCAATAAGAACCAGTATAACAATTATGATGGTTAATACGTTTCAGGTTACAACTGATTCTGACACTACGATTTTATTCCTTTTATAAAAAAAAGTCCGCCTTCAAAGGGTTAAATTGAAAGGATTCGGCTGAAAAACCAATTTCCTGACCCAAACTGGCTTCCAGCTTGACTTTTGGAGCTCCAAAAAAGTATACTGAACAATTTTGAATATTCAAGTGATTTAGGCAAAGTAGTACAGCTTTATGGCCTCTTTGAGAAGGAGAGAGAGAAGTTTGAAAAAAATGTCGCTTAGGGTTGTCTGGAGACCCTTTAGAAAAATAGGTATGTGATTCTTCAGGTTTTTGAGAGCTTTGACAGCACCATTCTGTTTAGCATGCTCAAGAACCTATGTGCAACTGTTTTCAAATTTTTGTGAAGTTGCTTTGAAGTGAAATGAATTTAAGAAGGAACTATGATGCTACAAAGCACCCTTATTCCAATTTTCGAAAAATAGATGATAATTCATCAAAAACTGGTACTCAAAATCTGAAAACAGCTGCAAGTAGGTTCCTGAGCATGCTAAAAAGAATGGCGCTGTCAAAGCCCTCAAAAAGGCTACTTCTCATTGGCGAACATAAAGAAAATAAATTTTAAGAAAATTAAAATTTTTAAGATTTCGTTTGATTAAAATTTATATCTAACTTTTAAAAATTGAATTACTGCGAACGAATATTGAAAGTAAATTGTTTTCAAAGATTTTAATAGAAAGTTATTTTTTTACTAAGCATGCTGCAATTTGTAGAAATCGTTAGGTTTTGGTTGAATTACGATTTTCGTTTGGACCTAGCTACGAAGAATTTTAATTGAACTAAAAAATAGCACGTACTAGCTGGTTTAGTTTTCTTTTGTTATTGATAAACCAGCACTCATAATGCACGAACAAGAATCATCGATTTAGGCTGAGCTAAGAACGATTTTAGTTAAAGATAAAGCTAATTTTTAAGGAGATTGTATCATAATTTGTTGTGATAATCGATATTTGTTCCGAATATGATGTGGGCGGATCGAGCTATGGTCGTCAAGAGAAGACGCTCATCAACATCTATATTTCTAAGCCGTCCTTTTCAGAATATCATGTTTATATTTTTGATTTTTGTGTATAAATGCTTTTGCACCCCAATCAGTTGTCTTCATTCAATGTTTGATTCCATTTTATAATCATAATTATAAGGTCTGTTCAAAATCCAAAATAGCTGATGGCATTCATAGTAACAATTGTCTGGCGAACTCTATAAATTGCAGTCAATTAAGAATAAAAAAACGCGCTACTATATTTTAGCGCACTATACAAATTGCAGCTCACTAAATTGAAATAGTGAAACTCAATATTTAGTGAACTTTATAAATTGCAGTAATTAAAAAGAAAAGAAGTACTATTGAATGAATGAAGAAAAGCTTTATTTGAGGATTTCACTTATTAGATTCTGAACCGCGAAAAATTTCTTACGAACGTTTAATCATAATTAGTCACTCATTACAAAACTCAATTAATTTATCAAATAGTGCTTGGTCAGTGTTTTGATAAAATTTCTTAGTTCTCTTTAGCGGTCGATCGATGGATAAATGAGAAATACATTTTTGAATAGTAAAGTGTTTTTGTAAAGTTATTTTTAAGTGCTGATCGTGATAAATAGTACTAAGTTTTGGTATTTCATGATTTTCAATATTACTTAAATGCTTTTGTATAATTCTTTTAAAACAATCTTCAAGCGTGGGAAGAGATCACGTCTCATGCAATTCAATATTAGTCGTATATTGTAGACAATGGATAATTCGTAGGCATTTTCTATCAAATTTGTAATATTTTTCTTGAGTTCTGTTCTAATGGAATATAATACATAAATGACAGAGATTTAAGTAAAATGAGGCCATATAAATGCAGAGAAAAGTCGATGTTGCAATGAGACAAAAGTAGGATATTGCCTGTTGATGTATTTAAGAATGTTGAACGCACTATTCATTCTCATTAGTTGTTGTTTAATAAAAGCATTGAAACTTAATCGAAAATCAAGTATATAACCTAGATATTTCAATTGTTTAACTTGCGCTATTTGTACAGAATTGAAAGATAAATGTATTCTGAGTGTTTTAACACACGAATAATAGATTACAAATTCACATTTGTTTGAATTAACAGACTGATGCCATTGTCTGGAATAGTTTAAAAGATATTTCATTTCTTTGTTAACCTTTTAACTGACGACATAAAGGAAAGAAAAAAATTTTACAAAAAATCATCATAGTTGTTTATTTTCGATCTAGTTTTTCGTATTTATATAAGATAACGTTGAATCCTTTGTAAGGTATGGAAATCTTTGAAACAGTCGGTGATGCACAGACCAACATCGCATTCGGTACATTGGTAGCGAGTATCACGTCGTTTCTTAGCACGTTGTTCAGTATTGCTGCAAACATAACATCTTCTTTGAGAAGTCTGTTTGCTTTCATTTGGAGGAATTAAAGACGGAAAATGTCTGGTCGTCAATCGTAGTGGATGAGCACTCAATGGTCTGCCAATATGTGACCTCTTAGAGCCGTACTTTGAGATGAGGTCTCGAATAAAGTCTAAAAGAACAGAAGACAAGAAAATGCA